TAATCCAGTTTTGAAACTGGAGACTGTATACCATATGAACAAGAAATACTGAGAAACTTCAGAGATCTACATGTCCTCTGCTACTCACACATCAAATTGTAATGCACCAACAGTGCTGCTTCTCCGCTGACCCAGGAAGTAGGTCAGTAGAGTACTGAAGCAATGGCAAAGACCTGAATAGGCTACAACTATGAGGGGTTTGCTGAGCAGTGAAACAGGACATAAGAACAAAGTTATAACAAAGATAGCTCTCAACTGGAAGTGATTTACAGTACAAGAGCTGGACAGTTAAGTAAGATGGATTGCAGGAGGTGCTCATTTAGGTTGTGAGACCAATAGGTTTGATTCAGAACTGAACAGGAAAAGTAACCAAATACATAGGTTTCATTTGTATGGGGCCTGTCATGAAGTATCATTTTCATGAAATAGTGCAAACTAAAAATGGGAACTTTTCCCAAACTCCTGATAATAAAATGAGAGAATGTTAGCTGACATTCAATATCAGTTATGGTACACATGCTACATCAGTAAATGGGGCCCAGGGAACTTATGTTGTAAGTAGATGTTATGGTGGTGGGAGACCCAGAAATGCTTAGATTTAATTGGACTAGAATTAAACAAGAAAGGAAATAGAAGCACCAGAGCAGGATGGAAAGTGCACCCTCAAAGATTTAAACATCTTGTCAGGAAACTGGTAATATTGTTGAGCAGACACATTCGCTTTCACACAAGCTATAATGCTGTTAAACAGCCAACACTGTTCTAAACAATACACCTATAACAGGGTACAACACCACATCTTTTCTTGTCAGTTGTTCTGCAATTTGGCTGTAGCCCGTCTGCTGGTGTATTTTACAGAATCTTGATAAGAAAGGGAGAGAGAGCAAGGAGGTGCCATAGGACATCAGCGTCAATGAGGGACTCAGAGTTTTAAAGCTTTATGCACATGTATTCTGAGATACTTGTCAGCCCAAGGGCAACCTCAGAGTCAGCAGCATCTAAGTGCAAGTTGTTCAGCTTTGGCTCAAAGATTTTAACAAACATTTTTATGCAACAGACAAAAAGTATGTAACACCTTGAAGATATGCTGTTAGATAGTCATGGCTTGATCATCAGAAGGGTTGAGGTTTCACAAATCCCTTTCAAATGGAACCTTTTAGCGCTCAGCACTTCTGAAAAATCAGGTAATCAATGTAAAAACGCCAGAGGATTTACCATAGTATAGCAGAGCACGACCTGACCGGTCCTTCAGTCTTGGCCAATACCTGATCCTAGCCCTTCTGGGCCACCAGAGGACAGGGAGGCCATATGAATAGGACCACAAGTTAAATGCATACTTTTTCTATAGAGCAGGATGTGAAAATGTCAATTCTAAGAACACTTTTTGTGGGAAATCCAGGACAATTTTCTCTGTTGCACAGAGAAATGTTTAAAGCCTAATGGCAAACACCTGAACCATTTGCACTGCTTCTGCTTCCCATCATTCTCCGAAGCTGTCCTCAGCTTTGAAACCTGTACAATGAATACAGAGGCTGAGATTTCATCTCCAGTGGCAAAGTATGTCAATACCTCTGAAAGAAAGGACCGGAAATTATCAGCCTGCCCTCCTTCTCCATTAAAGATAGACAACATCTGTGCACAATTGACCCTGGATATTGAAGCATGAGATGTCAGTTCCCCACATTATAAGGGGCTAGGCAGCATGCCACAAATGTGCTAAGTCAAAAGGACTGGTGAGAAATCAGGTAAGACCTACAAAATGTCACTGTTAAATGTCAGTTGTACAATCGTCAAAAACATTTAAGTGCTCGTTCAATGGCAGAACCCTTGAAGCTCCACCAAAATAATTAGTTTTATGATACTCCAGACTGTTGTTAATCAGTTGCCCCATATTGCTAAGTACCTTGCAAAGTCCTGATCTTGTCATTCTCAGCTGGACATGATTCTTTCTCAGGAGTGGTACAGCAGGGACCTTCTTCAACTCATGAAAAAAGCACAGGCCTTGAGGAGTGGGTCATAATTATACTAGCCTCAGGCAGACATGCTAAAGAGCAGAGCACCTGCTCTAATGTCCCTTCTGCTCTGTGCCAGTATATCCATACGCAGAGATAATCCAAATGGACAGAAATATTGGGCCAGGGATGGGGCAGACAGATTCTGTACACTGAGGGTCTTTTCTCCAGATTTTGAATCTTACTCTATTTTCTTATTTTTCAAAATGAGGGGAAGAGAACCTCGATTCTGAAAAAGCTGTCTAGTCCCTCTGGAAGTGTCCTCTTCAACATACCAGGCAGCACTGGGCAGAACTCTAGGTTTGGACTCTCAAAGGAGCCTGACACTCAGTGACAGTTGAGCACCTCCCTCCCTCAGGTTCCCTTGAAAATTACAAGTGAGATATACGATTTATTAGGTCCTTGGTAAAATTTTCATTTAAGCACCCAAGGGTACGTCTACACTTACCTCCGGGTCCGACGGCAGGCAATCGATGTTCTGGGATCGATTTATCGCGTCTCGTCTAGACGCGATAAATCGATCCCGGATCAATCCCGGAAGTGCTCGCCGTCGACGCCGGTACTCCAGCTCAGTGAGAGGAGTACGCGGCATCGACGGGGGAGCCTGCCTGCAGCGTCTGGACCCGCGGTAAGTTCGGACTAAGGTACTTCGAATTCAGCTACGTTATTAACGTAGCTGAATTTGCGTACCTTAGTCTGAAGTGGGGGGGTAGTGTGGACCAGGCCTTAGTGACTTTTGAACCTGAGTCCCTTTTTCAAAGATATTTAGGCACCTTACTCTCATTGATTTCAGTGGGAGTTAGGCACCTAAATATCTTTGAGGATCTGGGCCTTCGGGGGGAGGGATAGCTCAGTGGTTTGAGCATTGGCCTGCTAAACCCAGGGTTGTGAGTTCAATCCTTGAGGGGGCCATTTAGGGAACTGGGGTAAAAAAATCTGTCTGGGGATTGGTCCTGCTTTGAGCAGGGGGTTGGATTAGATGATCTTCTGAGATCCCTTTCAACCCTGATATTCTATGATTCTACTTAGCAGCCTCAGTCTCATTGAAAGACAATGTCACTTATGCCCCTAAGTCACTTAGAAACTTTTGAAAATTCTACTTCCATCCTGTCTAATGTAGAATGTAAGTGTCTCGGGATGGGGTGCGTGTCTATTCTCTGCCCAACACCAGACACAGCTATTGTGCTACAGACAGGTGTAAAACATAAATATATACATGTGTGTGGTTTTTCACTAGTCTCCCAAAGTCACTATGAGAACATGGCACTTTCTGATTCATCATTCTCTGTGAACTGAATGAGAATACATTATTGCTTTGTAGATAAAAATAATAAACAGGATTATTCGTATAATCTTATGACCAGCAGCCCATTACATTTAAATCATTAGCTTTTCCAGAACAGAGGAGTGGGCTTTTTGGGGGAGGGCGGGGCGGACAAAGAGAAAAGTCTGACATATCATTTCTCCCTTTGTCCTCCTCTTTGTTCAGAGCATGATTATCAGAAAAGGGGGATTTCGGCCACTAGGACTGGAGAGTTTGCCTGAAGCTGTACAGAGTGACTCTCACTTTTACCCTTTTAGGGAAAGCAACTGCATCCATTTCCAAATGGGCTGCTAGAAGCAACACCGAGCGAGACATGGTATGGCCATGCCATAGCTTGAGAGCCCAGGGAGGAGGGATTCCTTGCTTGAGCATGTTGTTTGTATTGTGGTAGTGCACAAAGGCCCAATCAACATCAGCCCCATTGCAATAGCCGGCCCTGTACAAATCTATGGGCCTGGCCCCAAGAGACTTCCACTGGATGTATCACAGAACTGGCCATGCAGATATTCTCTGACAATCTGCAATCTTTATGTCAGGTCATTAAAAACATGGGTTTGATTCCTGCATTGGAGCCCTGCTATGGCATGATCAAGTTCCTATTCTTTGATTCTCTGGGCCAACTCTGGATCTGAAGCAAATTAGAGCTGCTTCCAGCTCTAGGTTGCACCACTGGTAATGGTTCCTTTGAAGGACACTATGTCAGTCAAGGACTGCCATGTGAAACACAGATCCACCACACTCCTTCATGGCCCATGACACACCCCTTATGCCTAGGGGGCAGGCAACAGAGGGAAAGAAAGGAGGGGTGTGTGTGTGTGTGTACACGAACTGTGGTACAGATGCCCCAGCAAGGAATTCATTTTCTCTGCAGGGCATTTGCCACTGGATTACAGCCCCTTTGCAGTACCTCAGCCACACAAAGGAGCCATAAACCAGCTAGAGAATCTGGTCCTATAATTACTTCACTAAGTAGATGTTTAAATACCCCATTTCAGTCACAGACTTCCCCATCAGAGACTACAGCATCGTGAATAAGAGACTATTTATTGTGTCCAAAACGTGACATGGTTACATTTGTGCACATAAATACAGCCTGAGCAAATAACCTTTCCTTTGAAACACAGGAAAATGGTGCATTATTCAGTTTAAACATTGACTTTTTTTCCTTTTTCATAAGTTTCTAAAATGACCTTTGGAACAAAAACATGAGTCTCAAGTTCTACCACATTGAGTCAATGAATTGTTTCCTTTGACAAACCTTTCTTATTATGGAATAAAAGTCAAAGGTCTATTGACACTGCCTGATGGATCATCATCCTCATAAATTATCTAATATTTGCACAGCAAAATATACATACACAGTTCTCCAGTCATTCCATTACAGATTTATCATTCTGTCTTTCAAATAAAATATTTCTGGTACATGAAACATAAGGTACCTGTTTTTATAGCAAGAACTTCACATTAAAGGACTAAAAAGTATCTAACACTGGTCCCCAAACTTTTTACTTCGTGCCACCCCTTACCCCTGTCTGTGCCCCTCCTCCCCCAAGCCAGGTCTGAGAGCAGGGCTCCGGCTCTGGGAGGGGGGGACCCGACAGGGTTAAGGGGGCCAAGGCTGGGGCCACAGCTGGGGGTGGTGACAGAGCCTTCCCCCCCCCGGACATTCCTCTGCACCCCCATAGAGGGGGCATGCCCCACAGTTTGGGGACCTTTGTTTTAACATGTGATGACAGTGAAAGAGAGACTGTATCCTGAATAACTAGCCTATAAAATAACCTTAACTTTCCTTCATTAGCTGTGATTTTCATGGTGTGAAATGATAAATCACTGCATCGTTCACTCCATTTTAAAGGGCTGCAATAACCTTCATAAGTGTTTTTAATTATCTGCTGTGCAGAATTATCCCCAGCAAGTCTGCAAGACTATTTCCCCCATCCAAACAAGAATGCTACCAGGTGATTTTATAGTCTTCAAAGCATGTGTAAGCTGGTAAATAAGGAGTGAAATACTATTTCATTTCATGGGAATAATTTTCAGGACCTATATGTCTACATATTATTATAATGTTATTCTGCACTAATTGCAGGGTTGCACATGCCCTAAAACAAAGTGATTTCTAATTCTAAGGGTTCAGGAACTGAGCTGGTCACAACGTCAGCACAAAAACCACTGCAGAGTATAGGCTTTTGGTCAATAGTTTGTGCAACATTTCCATATTTCTGTTTTAATGCATAGGTGGTGGTTTTGTGCTGAAGTTACAAACCGAGATGATTTCTTACAGCTGCACATTGAGACAGACAGACAGCAAGATAGGGGTTCTAATGCAGATTTTTGCCTATTAACCAATATTACTGACTTGATTCTGCAACATCAAGATTCAAGCCCGCAAGGAATTCTTCACAGCAAGATCTATTTAACAGCTCCATTACTGATTCATTAATATCTTTGTTGAAAACAGAGCTAAAGTTTCCATTCACACATGCATCATTTCCATTCTCCAGCTGAAAACTACTCATTAAATCCTGGATCCACCTGAGTTCCTCAGAAAGTTCCTGACTCAGAGATTCATACTGAGACTTTAGATCAATGTATTTCCCAGTGACACTTGCAAGACTAGAACCTACAGTCTTGATGTCATCCTGCAGATGTTTCTTCAGGGATTCAATTTTACGGTGCTCATACTTCAGCTGTGAAAGCTTGTGTCTCACATTTTCATTTTCTTCTTTGTACCAAGCTTCTTTTTCATTATATATGGAAACCAGAGCATCGATGTCCTCCTGCAGGGAGTCGTGGGACATAGCCAGAGTGCTGAAACCACGTTCCGTCAGAGAAATGTCTTCTACCACCCGGGCAAAGCGCTCAAAGTTGATGTAGGTGTTATTTGGTGGCATACTTGAATGGCACTTGATGGTGTACTCTTTCAGACGTTTTGTCTTCAGCTGACTGTTCTCAGCCTTCTTGTTTTCTTGGACTTTTGTTTCTTCTATCAACTGGTGAGTCTTCAGACAGAAGAACCAGTATTATAGATTGTTTATCAAGACTGCAAGATATTGCACAAATTTCAACTCTACACAGCAGACAAGGGATGCAAACTGCATTTCCACAATGCTGGGGAGAAGCGTCGTTTCCAGTCATTCTCCTTCATGCATTTGATTAAAATAAAAGGGGTGATGTGACAAGCACTGAGCATTCATTCCCATGGGACAAGTGTAAATAAATAAAAGGGTCGTGAACTATTTGCATGCTACAGTTTGTGCAGTTAAATTCTCAAAACCATCAACATTTGTGGGGAAAAAATAATCCTGAAAACACTCCACTCAATGTTTTGTACAATACATAACAAAATGAGAACAATCCAGTGTTTAAACATCCGTATTTGCCATGCTGAGATTGCTAAATGTATTTTCACTAAGAGATTTATCTACGGAGGCAAGCTTTGCTTAGAACAAAACAACACACCCACACAATTCCAAATACCAAGCAAATCCAGACAGCTACTAGCTCACTACACCAATGACATTTTGAAGGAGCTGATTTGTTTTCACATTTGGTATGGTCAGCTCTCAACACCCAAAAGCACTACACCAGATGTATGGTTTGTGTCCATGCAAACAGTGATTAGAGATGAAAACAACACAAATGGTGTTCTAATACAGAATACTGTATGCCTGTTTATTTATATTCCAGTCACCCCTCCTTTGGCTTTATTGTAATAACAGAAGTCATGATTAAAGCTTGCAGAAATCCAAGATTTTGGAAGGAATTGCACAGGTTTTTACTACTGTTTGTCTTGCATCCAGGGAGCTCAGAGTGTTTAGTAGCCAATTATTTCTCATAACTTACCTGTGAAGGAGTATTCTCCCTGCTTTGCTCATGGGTGAAAGTGAGACATGGAGAGGTTAAGATTCACTGTCTGATTCAAACTGATTTCTGAAAGCCATAACCATGATGAATTATCTTGCAATTTAGGCACATAGCCTTTAGTGTGGAAATATAAATTCCCATACAAATTCTGTACTAGTTTATCCCGAAGCAAATGTCCATATCCCGAAGCACCACCCATATTCCATCACTATCTTTGGCCTTACCGTTATCCAAGGATGAGTGAGAGCTTCTTGAATTGTGAGCCGTTTCCTGCAATGAAACAGACTTAAATGAGAGCCAAGCTGCTTACCATACATTTCTCTCAGGGTGTTTATGAACCAACATTTTAATATTGTACCTTGTACCTATAACCCTGTCACCAGTAGTGCCAGGATTACTTACAGTGAGGTACAACTTTCCTGGCTACTTTACTCTGTAGGGCAGCAGGGTTCATAACAGTTAGGTTTCTGGCTTCAGTGTTAATACAATGCTACCCCCCAGAAGAGCTGTCAGCTCTACTTAATTTTCATTTACACTCAATCAAAATCTCTCCCTCTCTCATTGTTCTGTTAAAAAGAGGTGAAACGCTGCTAATGTTTCATGATATGATCTGTCTTACTAGTCTAACATGCCTAATGAGTGAATTCTTCCTGCACACACTTGGTCTGACTTTTTCTCTATATCAATTGATATAAGATTAATGTAATCGAAAATGTCTTTAATGCATGAGCTATTAAGTCACTCTGGAGCTCTTGCTTCCTCAAAGCAGTATTCCTGGGTGGGATGCTTCAATACTAATCAGAAAATCTAACTTTCTCCTACCCCCTAGCAGCACTGCGAACAGTACACTATCACCTTCAGGCAGGATGGGCATAAACATGGTATTGCCTTTGCAGCTGGCTACAGCACAGATATCAACATGCCTGATCTGCCCTGCTTGAAAGGCACTTGCTAAACCTGTGCAAAACATTCACATCAGACTCCAACATGCCCCAACATATCCTGGGGTCTGAGGTTCGTAGAAATATTTGCTGATGTGTTTGGACAGATACCCTAGCTGGCATCCTTCTCCCAACAACCCCCACTATCTACCTTCTCCCCCAGATGTCTTTAGACGGCACCCTAGTGACCTGCCTTCCCACATCTTTCTGCAAGTGGCCCCCCACTTTGTTTTCAGGGGACATCCGATGACCACTCCCACTAGTACAAATAGACTCTTCAGAGGGCTCAGCAGCACATAACCCACAAGGATGCCCTTTACTCTCTCCACCCACCCCAACATAGTGCAGGAAATGTGGCAAGGTAGTCCTGCTGCATCCAGCTCATTAAAAACTTCAGGAGCAGAGATCCCTCTCCTATAATCCCTATTGCAGTAGCTAAAGAATCTCTGTTGTTCCCTAATCACCATGAGGTAGGGGAAAAGCCCCATATAGCTGCTAGAGAAGTGCCAGGTGTACCTAGCTGATGCACAAGGGTTAATGGAGCATATTTGACACTAAGACAACTGAAGAGCAAGGAGTCTGCAGCAATAACGGGAAAGGGCTAAGTGCATCTCACTTCCTAGAAGGTTCCTTATGGCTTGGGGTGTGGGAGCAATTACCAACATCCACTACAGACCTGGGATAAGAGCCATCCTGCCTCAAATGATGGACTCCATGAAGACAGCGAAGAGAAAATGGTGGCTTATAGGTGTGAGTAGATAGGGTGTCCCTCTGGAGGTTTGAGATTGATGAACACAATCCTCCAAGTGAACACATAGGAGCTGGTTTCCTGACAATCTCTGCAAGCCAATTTGCAGGCTTTAGCATGTGATTAATAGATTCCCAAGCCAGAAGGAACCATTGTGATCATCTAGTCTGACCTTCTGTGTAGCACACGCCGATAGAACTTCCCCAAAATAATTCCTAGAGCAGATCTCTTAGAAAAACATTCACCCTTGATTTAAAAATTGTCAGTGATGGAGAATCCACCAGGCCCCTTTTATTGTTTCAATGGTTAATTACTCACTGTTTAAAATGTATGCCTTACTTCCAGTCTGAATTTGTCCATGTAGAGCAGCTGTTTTTGAAACACTGAATATAAAATCAACTCTCTCTCTCACACACACACAGACATACCCACCCACCAAGGACACATGGATTGTGAGATGTCATTAGAGGCAATAAAAAAAATTTAAGAATTACCAGACACAAGAACAGCTTCTAAAACCCAATAAACTCCAGTAATTTGCACTTCACAAAAAAAAAAAACCAATCCAACCCTACTGGTGAAAGAAAATGCATGCCAAATTTTGCCACATTTGGTGAATTTTGGCACGGCATATTTTTAGGGCCTCTGTATATAGACATTTACAAGGGACACAGCAATACACCTGTACTTAATGACTCACTCTGGGACAGTGACCTACTCTGAAATGAAACCTCTTAGCTGCTCAGCGTGCTCATTTTTGCCTGGGTGGCATGAAAGGCAGCCAGTCATTTCTGTACATTTACTTACCGCGTGTCTTTCACCAGGAGTTTCCGGATAAAGTCTTTTGCCAGATCACTGGTGTGACTGAAAAATTCCTCATCAAATTCGTAATTCACGGCTGTGATGTTGGCGAGAGTTTCCTGCTTTGTTTCTCCAAGGAAAGGGGATGCGCCGCTGAGCCTGAACAGGTCAGACATGAGGATCATGTTTTGATTGGGGAAAGATAAAGTTACTTTGACGTGATTCTGAGATTGTGAAATGACAACGTTGGAATGTGGGTCTCTCTTTCAGGGCAGCCAAGAAGATTTGGAAATAAAAGGCCCAAATCTGTGTCACCATATACATATGGCTACAAAACAGACTCACAAAAGCAGCATTAATGTGTTTCCATGTGCGACAGCAAAGACTCTATTCACGGACACTCCCATCTCTGAGACACACTCAGGTTATTGCCGCCCAGGGTAAGAATAATCCGCACTGGAGGAGAGGTCCAGTTGCTATGAATATATCGGGGGTACATGCACAAATACCCACAGGCTATGTCAGGGAATGTCCCCCCATAGTTCCCATCAAGGAAGTCCTGTTCAGTGACCTCTCTGTAGGCTTTTTGGAAAAACTCCTGCCCCGTGCTGTTTTTCTGCCTGCAGTTCACTGGCAAGCATCTATGCACAATGTGAACCTAGAGTTAGGCCCAAGAGGTCCACATAAATAGAGACGATTAATTGTGGCCTTGCTCTGATTTCTGCAGGGTGGGAAGAGGACATGGCATTGATTAAAACTAGCCCCCAGGACAAGCCAGAGGACTTACAGTGCAATAAAATTGAACATAAAGAGCTAATTCTGTCGGAGCTCAGCTCCATGATTAAAATTGCAAGGATACAATGCAGTCGTCATCCTCATAAAACACTATTCAGCAATCTTTTAGATGGAAAGGGCTGTGATCCTGGCCTGGCATTTCTCTCAAATGCAATTGACATCCTTCATCTTAGACTCATATTTACCTCAGTCCCACAAAAACCTGGGGTTAAAGCACTTCTATTAGAGTTCCTTTTTTTAAATACCATGAATGCTGAGTCAAGAGAGTTAGTATAAATAACTCTTGCTGGAAATCTAAGTGTTCTTTATACTAAGGAAATTGATCTAATCCCATTAAAATATTACTACTATTCTTGCCTTCCCTGTTTGGAATTTGGTAGTGGAAGTTCTGGATGCAGTGGGCTCAAAACAGAACTGCAGCAAACCCTTCACAGTGACGTTGCTTGGTTAAGTGATTCTGCTCACAATAGGCCTTTATCGTCCAACACTGTCACACTGACCAAGGATCTTTTGCATTACACCTTAATAACGGTGATTATATCTGCCCAGCAAGGATACGAGAAACACAGAGGCACTATGCACAAAAACAGGGAGCTCCCGAACTTTTTCATAGTGTGGACCAAATCTCGACAGAGAAATTGCCACCCCTACTCCCAATCTGCAATCATGTAACAACCCAGAACTGCCACACCTGCTGACTTGGGAAGGTAATATTAGGGGAGTATTTTTAGCTGTCTTTGGTGCTCTATGCATTGCTCTATTTGACTACAGTCAATTGTTCTGACTACGTCCACTCTTCACTCATCCCCGCTTGTCCCTTTGTTCCATTTCACTCAGCCAGAAACAAGAAGGAGAGCAGGCAACACGTGAGAAGCCAGCTCTTTGTGGCCCACCAGTGGTCACAAAACAGCTGGGGAATCCCTGCCCAAATGTCTTCGGCCATATTTTTTACCCTTTTCTCAACATCATACTGTGGGGCGCTTGGCTTCTCTCCTCCCACCCACTGCCCCCTCAATTTGTGTGTCGTATGGTCCTTTGTGACCTGGGCAAGTCACTTCACTTCTCCATGCCTCAGTGTGTACACATGTAGAATGGGGATGATTCTCTCCCAATTTTAAATCACTAAATGATCCTTGAAAGTCACTGTATGAATGCTGCTTTAGCACCTTGGCTCTATGAGAGTAATCATGAGGATGTATAGAAACTGGAAAGGATTCAGAGGCAAGCAACAAAGGTGATCAAGGGGATGGAATGCAAGCCATATGAGTAGAGGCTGAAGGAACTGGGTATGTTTAGTTTGGAAAAGAGGTGATGGGGCATGATAGTGGTCTTCAAATACTTGAAAGACTGCCATTAAAAAGATGGAGAAAAGTTGTTCTCTCTTGCCACAGAGGGCAGGTCAAGAGGCAATGGGTTCAAATGACAGCATAGCAGATTTAGATAAAATCTCAGGAAAAACTTTCTACTTGTAAGAACAGTAGGACAATGGAACTGCCTAGGGAAGTCATGGAAGCTCCTTCACTGGAGGTTTTCAAAAAGAGACAGGATCGCCATCTGTCCTGGATGGTCTTTAGACACAAGAAATCCTGCATCTTGGCAGGGAGTTAGACTAGATGACCCTAGTGGTCCCTTCTAACCCTATGGTTCTATGATTCTATGTCCCCATCAAGAGGCTGGCCCCAGTGATGACAACAGCCTACTACTTAGAACTAAATTAATTATTCCTTTAGCTCCGATGGTAGGGCCTTGTGCTCCTGGGGCTGAAAGACCTGGGTTTGACCCCTGCAGTGATCTTGGTGTCCATAAGAATGTGGTCATGTGTGTTACAGTAGGTGGTATTATATATACACTCTGCGTTTGCTAAGCATTTTGGGACCCCTTACAATGAGAGGCATGTACAGTCTCAACGGAAGTTGGTAGCAATAAAATTAAGAAACAACTCTAGAAAAATACAAAACAGGCTTAAGAGTATTATAGCAAGTGCAGGGTCAAACCCCTCCCATTCAAGGGCTCATCTCCATCCCTTTTTAGAGCGGGATACTATTTTTATGCTAGTTTACTATGCTAACCATTGCTACATGTATTAGCCGTTCTGGAAGCTACTATTGTGTGTGTGGGGGGGAGATATATATTCACAAGAACCAGGTAAGATTTTTTTTGATTTGTAAATGCTGTCAGAGGGTTGGGAATATTTGATCGGGGGCCTTAACACTGATGTGCACCCTGTGATGAAATGGAAATTTTCTGTCATATTTTTATTAAGCCTATGCGTGCCTCAGTTTCCCCCATATGCTGCATTGTTACCCCATTGGATGGGGGAAGGACTATTTGCTCTCAGGGCTTGTCACTTAAAATGCTACAGCAGCACAGTGCCGCTGTAGCGCTTCAGTGTAGACACTACCTGCACCGACAGGAGGGTTTCTCTTGTCTGCATAGTAATCCACCGCCCCAAGAAGTGGTAGCTAGATCACTGGAAGAATCCTTCCATCGACCTAGCACTGTCTACATGGGGACTTAGGTCAGGTAAACTACGCCACTAAGAGATGTGGATTTTTCTCACCCCTGACTGATGTAGTTATAGCGACCTACTTTTCTAGTGTAGACCAGGCCTAAGAGAGACAGATATGAATGTCACCTAGCTGTCTGTGCCTTAGTCCCCATTTCCAATCGCCAGGACATTGACGCTTAGCAACCGAAAACCCAAAGGGAGACAGACGTTCCCACCTCTCAGCAGGGAAGCTGAGCAACATACCCCTGCTCGAGAACAAAGGACTGGGGAACAGTGTTCCCTCTAATTTTTTGTGTCCGTGTGCAGAATGAATTTTGTTATGTGCACCAATAGGGAGGTGATGTGTGGCAAGTCACCTTCCTATTGGTGCACATAACAAAATTCATGTGGTGGGGGTTCGGCATGTGGGAGGGGGCTCAGGGCTGGGGCAGAGGGTTGGCGTGTGGGCGTATGAGGGCTCTGGCTGGGAGTTTGGGCTCTGGGGATAAGGGGTTCAGGGTGCAGGAGTGGGGGCTCAGGGCTGGGGCAGAGGGTTGGGGTGCAGGGGCTCTGGTGTGGGGCCAGGGATGAGGGGTTTGGGGTGCAGGAGGGGGCTCAGGCCTGGGGCAGAGGGTTGGGGGGATGTGGGCTCTGGGGTGGGGCCGGGGATGAGGGGTTTGGGGTGCAGGCTGCCCCCGGGCTGCGGTGGGAAGAGAGAGGACTCCCCCCAGCCCTCTCTCGCCACAGGAGCTTGGGGCCGGGGGAGAGGCACCTCTCCCCGGCCGTGGCAGCTCCGGCAGGGCTGGGCCGGGCTGAGGGATGGGCACCTCTCCCCACCATGGCAGGTCCGCGCTGGGACCGGCAGGGAGGGGCGCCTCTCCCCGCCATGGCCCTGAACCCCTGCACCGGGCTTAATAGGCAGCTGTGCAGCTTAAAGGGAACTTAACTGGGGAGGTATGAGGTGGGGGAAGGGGGTAAGAGTTGGCTGCTGGAAGGAGTCAGGGTTCTCACCTGGTATCTGACCAAAGAAGTCAGACTGAGACACACACACAGCTTGAACAATGGAGTTCACTAGAGCTTGGCTGGGGGCTCTGGGCTGACCAGAATGGTCTTGCTTTAACCTTCCGTTCTCTATGTTAACCTAAGGACTTCCTATGCTATGTTCCAGTTGACTAATAAACCCTACTGTTTTGACAACACTGTTTGAATGTCACTGCAGAGGCTAGCAGATGTGTATTGATCGCTGGAGAACGTACAAGTCTCTACCAGGAATCTATCTCGGTTGGACTCACCAAACAGAGCTCACAGTATGAAGCAGGAGTGCTGCAGACCCAGAAGTCCAGTCTAAGGAGGCGGAGAAGCCAGCTGACTTACTCTGGAGGAAGAGTGAGACCCCTAGCGGGTCTGGCACACTGAAGGGATTCCTCCTAGAGCAGTGGTTCTCAACTTGCGGTCCAATCAGCACACAGGGGCAGCCCATGTGACATCCTCAGGGCCATGGATAGTATTGGATGTGGCCCGCAGTGGTAAATAGGGTGAGAACCACTGTCCTAGAGACTGTTTCAAAGCTGGGGGCATAGCACTTATCTCGTGGATCCGTGACACACCCCAAATACATTGCAATACAACAGAGCCAGGATTAGTGGAAATCTACAGGGACACATTGTTTGCATTTCTCTTTTTTTTTTTCCCCCCAGTGGAGATTTTAGGTATAAGTAGAGATGGGTCGGACAAAACTCCTGTTCTGAACAACCTCCAACTTTGGGGAAATTTGGATCTGGAATTCATGGCGCAAGCCCATCTCTAAATACAAAGTTATTGTTGCAGAAGCTTTCTAGGTCATTTCAACCAGCTGGAGCAATGCAAAAGCAAAATCAATGCTTCTATCTCTCTACAGAGCAAAGTACACAAGTAGAAAAGAACTGCCCTATTGGAACAGAGTACTGCTCCACTCCCTGTATTACCTGCCTCCAGCAAAGGCCTGTGTATGCAACACTTCAGAGGAAGGTGAAGGCCTCTCAGAACACCTGGCTATCTGTGCATTACTGTAATCACAGGGTAAGCATTCTAGCCTGTGTCTTCTCAACATCCAGTCTCCCTTCCCATTCATCTATAAACAGATGTAAATAGCAATTTATGAAGACTGATGTCCTATCAGGTTCAGATGTATTCGCTGATGACATGAAGAGTGCAAATAAGGATCAAGGATCTAGACAATTTTAGAATTGTTCTTTAGATGCTGGTGGGCTGCCTAATGTGTCTCGGACGGTATCCATGTGCCCCTTATTGTACCCCAGGGCATAAAGGACTTCATAGCATTCCGACTATGTTGTCAGCTTGCAGCCCTTTTATAGTGGGCGGGGTCTAAACTCAGGGATCAATCCAAAAGCTTTCAGCATGGCCTGAGTGTGTTTAATTCTGCTCCACTTGGCTTTGCCCATCAGAAAGAGATTCCTTTTTTAAGCCTCTCTATCTTTGTCGGGCCCGATGCTGCAAAGCTTGCTAAAGCAAAATTCCCAACGAGGCTAATGGGAGCACTGGGTAACGTCTGCAGCATGTAGCCCATTGAGCCCAACCAGGAGAACCCCAGGGCTAGAGAGGCTGAGATTTAAGTGGGATTTTCAAAAGTCCTTGGTGTTGGCCTAACTCTGTTCCCACTGAAGCTGATGGGTGTTTGACGTCAATGGCAGCAAAATTCGACCAACATTTGGTGACCACTTTTGAAAATCCCACCCCCAAAAACATAAGAGGCACAGGAGCTTCTGGTGCTACGTCGAGGCATTTGCTGGTCATTGGTCCTATCGCCTCTCTTTTAGTGTCACTTAATTTTCTTTGCTTTCTCTATTTTAAAAGGCCTCTGGATATCACTTGTCCATCAATCCCTTGCCCCATTCCTGCTGTGCAGCTCCTTCCCTAAGGGACTGATGAGAAGAGCTACTTTTCACTAGCTTGCTACAACTTTTACAGCTGTTCCATACAAGTGGATCGAATTCTGTACTTACAGTATGTAGGTGATGACTCCTATGCTCCTAGAAAACAAAAAGAGCAACTAATTGTAGGTTTTATACATGTGTGTGACATCAGTCAATTATAGCTGCTAGATTGGCAGATGAACCATGATATTAGCAGTCAGACAAAACCTATGTAAAAGTCAGTGCTTCATAAAAAGGAATATGAATTTTGGATACAGGCTCAAATGACATGGATATCTGGGGTTTCTTTATATGGGTGTCTTAAGTCATGTTGGGTTCACGGTGGCTAATTAGCTATGGTACATGTCAGAAGCATGGAGGAATATCTGCAAGGATGTTTTAGCCACTACGACCATTTTGGGCAGAACAGCTTGGTATCGAAGCGTGCTCTATTCACAGCGCTTTTATAAAAGAAAGCTATCACAAGGCATTGCAGGGACAATGGTGCCTTTCAAGAGGCTCTCTCTAAAAGGTGGCAGCTAGTGGCAAATTCTTAACTCCTGTTTTATATAATTCAATTTTTTTTATTATCATGAGTAGCAGTTTATTATAAACAGCAGGTAAAAACTGAAGGAGCAAAAGAACAGCTATTTACTGTATGTCAGCATTGTCTGATATGTAGAGAATGGATTTTACACAGAGCACCCTTAAGAAACTAGCAGTATAGCATCTTGGAAGAAAAGTTAATGCCGAGAACTTACCACATATCTGCAGCTAGCCCAAGTGGTTCGTAGTTCACTATTTCTGGAGCTGTAAGAAGCATTTATTCAAACATTAGCAACAGATTGAGTAAATTAATTTTAGCAACATGAATCGAATGCGTAGGTCAAGAATTACATCAGTCCTTGGTAAAAAGCAGACCAGTAGTTATATGAGGTAATTTCTGTTTGAAGTTCTACAACGGTGTGTGCATGTGGCGGTAGGAATTTAAGCTCCCAAACAGAGGGAGAGCTAATTTAGAGTCAATGGAGAATGAAAAGGGATCAAAGAATAAAGGACAGGAAGATATTACCATCCACCTACAGTACTAATTACACCTTCAACAACAAATTATTTCATGTAACAGCATCCCTAAGCAGATGGATCTAAGCATTTTCTCCCAAATTATTTCAGAATGGCAATAAACTGATACCATTAATGCACAGTCTTTATTTAGTAATTGGCCAGTCAGGGACTGCTCTAGCACAACTTGCCCAAGGTTTCTTTCCAGCCAACACACCATTCATTACCATTGTTGTCAGCTGTTACTGTAGCTTCTGTAGAAGAAACACCTTCTGGATGAAAAATATCCATATGGAGGACTGAACAAAGGAAGCGATAAATGGCAATGTATCGAGGCTTGAAGAGGTGTCTATAACAGGGCAGCAGGGATCAGTGTTTATTTAACAGCTTCATTTATTATCCGGAAGAGGAAGTAAATTAAACTGAATAGATCTCTGATTGGCAGGTGTAAAAACCAATATGGACCAAGAGATAATACAAGCAAACCTAGAGGTTAGAAACGTGATCAGGAAGTCACAACATGACAGTCAGCCTGAAGTAACGAAAGGAAGGGAGCTATAATCCAAAACAGGTTCAGTGGGAGGGAGTTATACTTAGAAAGCAGTAACATCAACAGAGACCGATATTACTCTATTTTACAGATGCAGAGTGACTCTGACTTGCCACAGGGAGAGTAAGTAGCAGAGCTGGGATTAGTGCTAGGGGGTTCCTAAATTTCAACCCTGAATTTATCTCTTTAGCTCAACAGCTACAGTTTACAGAAGGCACGACTCGGCTGCTCCTCTGAGAAGTTTCAAGCAGGCCCTCTAGATGCAGTGCACCCAAATGGGGTGGCAATTTTAGGGGGCTGAAAAGGTGGAGGTGTTACTGGCTTCTCCCTGAATTCAGGAAGGTGTTGCTGGCTTCTCCAGTGAAAAGCTGCAACACAAAGGAACTGCTTAAACACTCACCTACAAACTCTGGTGTTCCAAAAATATTCTTAAATTCAACTCCATCTTCTATTTTATGAGCTAGGCCGAAGTCAATGACTTTTATGTGTGGAATGGGAATATTCTTGTCTAGAAGCATAATGTTTTCAGGCTAAAAATAATGAAACAAAGATTAGTTATAAGAGCCCAAGTAGTATCCCTTGAGTCACCTTTTCATACTTGTACATGTTTGCAATACTGCAGAACAGGTTAAAACCACAAACCTACTCCTGGCAATGCAGACTTCACTGTTTTGATAAATGGAACATATTTATGTAATGTGACATTCATTGTCAAATCAGAACTGGACAGCAGCAAAATTAACACTCCTCAGTGTCTGAAGCCTCCTGCTCAAAAGCAATAATTCACTTCACTTATTGCCTTTATTCTTTTCTCACAAAAGCTGCAGCATGTCCAGGTTCCTAATAAGTCAGTACCTTCCTTGTTCTCTTCACCAGTTGCTTTCTCTCTCTGCCTGCCTGTGTTTATTTTGTTAATTATAGTTGTTATGGCAGGATGAAGATAAAATATACCTGGTTTCCAGGGAAATGATGAGACACCAGAGTTATTCACATAACCGTAAATAATTGCATGACTCAAGTAGATGCGTTACAAGATATGTTATGAGACTGACATGCTGAGCATGGTGGTACATCACAGAGGGTGAGCTTACCATGGCTTGGCCTCTTCCACAACACTGGGGTAGGTTCAGATCCTGGGATGAGGATCTGAATGGCCCTGAAATTGGAAGGGGCTAGGATTGGAGATTCTTGCCCACCTCTACTAACAAGCTATTCTAAGAACACATGGAGAATTTCTGACTGTTATGCAACCAAAAGCACCAGGCCAAACCTGATAGAATTGTGAAAAGAGAACTGTTAGCAGTCCGTAAGCAGCAGGTTTGACTCCATACTCTGTGCAGTATCTACTCATTATTTTTCCCAATAACTTTCTTAGCCCGTCATTCCTCCTTTATTTTATAGTTTTTAGAGCAACATGGCTAGCACAATTCAGCTCTGATGAAGAGCTCCAATGCTATTAAATTTTCATGTTTTAATTATAGCCTGGAAGCAACAGTCAGAGAGTTTGATTCCCTGCTGGCAGCTGCCTGACCATTTAAGAACTAATTCTCGTGTGCAAGGAGCTACTGCTAACACACTCTCATTCTGCATTACACTTGCAGACAGGCTACATGAATAATTTATTTTCACAGCCATTGGACTAAGATGTTTTTAGCTCCAGGCTAACTATGCTGGTTTTCATTTGAAGATACACTGCTGGCAGCTGTATGCACTGAATGCTGCTGACATGTGATGCAGACCCATTTAGAACAGACTTGTGCTAGAGGTAGCACAGTATGAAACAAGAAGTTATTCAACAGTCATCTCTGTTCATCGTCTCTGCATCTTGGTGCAGATCCTCACCTGATGTAAATAGGTACAGTTCTGCTCCAAGCAATGGTGCTGTGCCAATTTACACCAGAGAGAGCTGATCCCTGGTGTTCTCAGGCCTGCATCTGGATTTCAGCAAGTGACAAGGTGCAGACTATACCAGCTGGAAGTAGGTCATGAGAACAGACTAGCAGGAAAGGGGGAACAATAGGAAAAGTGGTTGCCTGGCTAATATCAAAGGAATAAAACACTTCACTCTAGTCACATATATGTACATGTCTGCCTTATACACAGTATAATTAACGTTTTCATTATGTCACATTCTCCATCCACCATCTAATCCTCTTACTGCTGCAAAATATCCCGCAGTATGTCCTGCTACTCCACTGATTTCAGCAGAACATTAGCAGAGGCATGACAGTGCTATTATTATTGATATTGCACCAAGCTCTTCAGGGCAGGGTCTAGTTTTATTGTGGGTCTTTGTACAGTGCCAAGCATACATCAGTGCTTGTAAGGAATTAGCAAGAAATGGTTATATATTTAAGCTTCCTTCCCCCCCAGAATCTCCGTGGGGAGTGCTAGGGTTTATGGGCCAGTTGGGAGAAAGGAATTTTCAGTTGTTACAATGGCTATAAAATATTTTAAATGTGATTTCCCTCTTTTACATCCCCCTCCCTCCTTTGGTGTATTGTCCATCTCCAGCTGTTCAGTGGCATTGTGTTTTGAGTTTTGTTGGTTTTTGTTTGTTTGGCTTCAGCAGCCTTTGCTTTTGCAGACACTTCCACAGTCAAATCTTGGCAAGGCGACTAAACAAACAAAAACAAACAAACACACACCTCCCCCACCCCAAAACCCCTTCCAAATTAGTTCCCATTATATGTTCCCCAGCCGCCTTTTTTTTTATGGCAAGATCGAAGAGATTGATAAGAGTGACAAGATAATTATGGATCTCCATTTCCCTAGTTGGATTATTGCTTAAAAATACATGCCTGGCTAAACGCTGCAGACGCTCTAAAAATAGTCCTATAAAAGCCAGATGAGTGATATCTTGAATCCTGCTTTAAATGGCTTGTCAGTGATTTATTTATTGCATTTATGAAATGGTGTCTGTTCAGCCCCACATGCACATTTCTTTTTGCTCTTTTTCCAACATCATTGTTGACCACTGAACTTTACTGACATGGAACATGTGGATTTCAGTAGCCAGAACTCACCCTGGGAAAAGTTTCATTTATGTTCACATAATTATATTCCATCACTGAATGTTAGCATATTTTTCAAATGCACAGTGTAAACCTTTGTTCGTGGGCTATATGGCTTCAGGGTAACCCCAACACACTCACACCCATAAAACAAACAAACATATGGACAGAAGTTTGATGAAGTGTATTGAATTGTTGGGATATATGCAATTGCAACAAGAAGAATATATATTTAAGAAAAGAACTTGGGCATACATCTGTCCATGTAATACTCATCACTGCAGTAACTAGGCATCACACAATTCTAGATCCAAAATGATGACAAACAGCATGTGATCTACTCTAGGCGTCCCCCCCCCTTTTAATCTTCTCAAATTCTGTCTTTCCTCTACCTTCCACCTTGCTCTGAGGAGGGATGGAGCCATGTTTTGTACATAGTCCTGAAAATGGCAACGTTTGTGAAGCGAGTTCCATAGCTGCAGACCTGCTGCTGAGAATGCTCAGTCTCCCAGTCTTGAGTTTCATCCTTGTGGGTGACAGAATCCTAGTTCCAGAGGCACATCATGGTCTGGGCAGATCACAGTCATGGACAGAGACAGAGTCTCCCAGGAAGTTTGGGCCAGTTCCATGAAAGGCTCTGAAGATAAGGACTGAAACTATAAATTCACCTGATAGTACATGGGGAACATTGGGGTGATTTGCTTTCAGTGACCTGGATGACTAAGCAGGCCAGCAGCCATATTCTGAACCAACTGATACTCGGTGTTGGAATGACAGTGCCAACTAAACCAGTGATTCTCAACCAGAGGTATGTGGATGTAAGCAGAGTCAGGATGAGCTCTACCCTGACATCTGGTGGTGAATTATGGTGAGTGTGGAAAAGAACTCCAGGGGCTGATCTTGTTTGCATAGGCACACCCAACCGCCTGGCATGAAACAACAGCAACTGAAAGTGGTTACTTTGGCTGGTGTGGGATCCCCAGTTTCTCTGTTATTGGGGCAGGAAGAATAAAGTTTTGTTACCTTGATTCAGTGAATCAAGGCCAGTGGAACTGTTGTATGACAGAAGGACTCACCATTACCTAAGTAGCACTTGCTTGACAAGGGGCATGGGTTACAAAACGCAGTGAATTGAGAGAGGATGGGAACAGGTATTTGTACCTGATGGTATGGGCCTCCTTTGAGGGTTTGAAACACCAATCGTACCACCTTCTCTCTCCACTGTTGAAGGTCAGAGCTAACTTTGATTCCATTAGGAGTCTAGTTACAGGCTGCTGAGCTGAATTCACTTCGGGCCAATGGTGCACCAGCACTGGGGCTCCCCTACTATGAGCTGAAATCATTAAGAGCTGAAATCACAAATGAGCTAAAGTTATTAAGAGCTGAGATCACTGAGTGCTGTGTTAACTAGTGGGGGAGGCTGAAGCTATATTGCTAAGCAGCTGGCGGAGCAATTTGCGGGGATGACTGGAGGAGCAGCGAGTGGCGCGGAGCCTTGCCGGGACGGTTGGAGCGGCCCAAGGAACGGCGAGCGGAGCTGTTTGTGGGGATGTCTGGAGCGGCTCACAGGTCAGTGAGCGGAGCAGCTCGTAGAGCAGAGCAGTTCGTGGGACGGCAGGAAGTGGACTGGCTCGTGGTGAAGGCTGCGGCGGAACCCCACGGAGAGATGGCTGGCCGGCCTCGGATCACGTAAGGTGCCCCTTAACACCCTGCGTGCCCCCCTTTTACTCGGGCTGCACTGACCAGGGACAGAGACTTTGGGGGTTGCTGGACCCAAGAGACTTTGGGTGATTTTTGGGTTGCTGGATTCAAGAACCAAAGGGAAAGGACACAGCCCAATTTTCTGGGGTGGGTCTTTTGCTCATGGTTTGTGTTATGAATCCTGTTTGTGGTGTTTTTCCAATTTAATGCTGATGTCGTTTACCTCATGTTATTAAACATTTTCTCCTACACTCAGACTCCGTGCTTGCGAGAGGGAAAGTATTGCCTCTTAGAGGCACCCAGGGGGTGGTATGTAATTGTCCCAGGTCACTGGGTGGGGGCTCAAGCCGGTTTTGCATTGTGTTATTGAAACGGAACCCCTAGATACAGAACCCGGCCCTTATTGCTGCCAACTTAGATGGGCAGAAGGGTTAAATGTACACCTGAGGGTACACAGAGGTCTTCCAGGGAGTACATCAACTCTTCTAGGTATTTGCCTAGTTTTACAACATATAAAAAGCACTAGCAAAGTCAGTACAAACTAAAATTTCATACAGACAATGACTTGTTTATACTGATCTATATACTATATGCTGAAATGTAAGTACAATATTTATATTCCAATTGATTTATTTTATAATTATATGATAAAAATCAGTAAGTAAACAATTTTTCAGTACTAGAGTGCTGTGACACTTTTGTATTTTTATGTCTCATTTTGTAAGCAAGTAGTTTTTAAGTGAGGTGTAGCTTGGGGGTATGCAAGACAAATCAGACTCCTGAAAGGGGTACAGTAGTCTGGAAAGGTTGAGAGCCACTGAACTAATCTACCTCTTGTTTCCTGGTCAAACATACATTGCCGAAGCTGTTTGAACTCTGTAGTTTCAGAATAATGTTCCTCATAGAATTCTCAACACAATCACTGTTTTAGTCTGTGCTATGTTTGGTAAAGAAAGGAACTGGACAGGACTAGAAGCAGCATGTAGTACTCACAACACATATACTATAACTTCAACCCAGATTGAGTGGATCTCTACATAGAAAATGCTTGTCAGAAGTGGGAATTAGAGTCTAATATTTACAAGGCAAATGTTATATTGACTGTTATTAATGTTTAAAAGTACACTTAGACTAATTTGCTTTGATGGAGTTAGCGATTTCAAAGGAAAATTACAGTACTTAGAAAAGGACTCATGATGGTGACTAGTTTGTGAGCTCTCTGGGGCAGGTACTGTACATCTTCCTATACGTTTGCAAAAGCATCCATCACGTTGTGGGTGCTATTATATAAACAATAAATAATAGTGGCATTAATTAAAATATCTGACCCCCACAAGATGAAGATTTTGTTGATTTCTCATTCTCATCATTAAAAGAAATACAAGGCTGGACATTAGGAAAAACTTCCTAACAGGGTAGTTAAGCACTGGAATAAACTGCCCAGGGAGGTTGTAGAATCTCCATCATTGGAGATTTTTAAGAGCAGGTTAGACAAACACCTGTCAGGGATCATCTTAATTCTTAGCCCTGCCATGAGTGCAGGGGACTGGACTACATGACCTCTTAAGGTCCCTTTCAGTCCTAGGATTGTATGATTCTAAAATCTTGGGAAATACTATTTCTGCTTACCACCGAGTGCTGTCATGTCCATCCAGCACAACAAGCCTCCGTTCAAAAAGCTAAGCATTTTACTCTTCCACCTTCTCTATTATCAAACATATTTTATATACCATCACATTTAAATGTATCACATATGCTGCATTATAGAATATATGCTATAATTATTTCTTTTAACTAGATCAACGTTTTTTACCTTTAAATCAAAATGAGCAATTTTCTTGGCATGGAGGTAGTTAACACCATCTAAAATCTCCTTAATGAATCTGGTTGCTTCCTCCTCACTCAGAGACTCTTTCTGTGCCAGGAAGTCAAAAAGTTCTCCTCCGGACACTCTGCAAGACATACAGGGAAGCCTTGGGTTAGCTACAGCAGGGCAAGGCACACACACATCAATATACGTGTAGTTAAAATGGCAAACAAACAAAATGTCACCCACTCAGAACAAGCCCACTCTGAAGTGTGAATCAGGAGATCTGGGTTCTAGTCCCAGTTCCGCCACAGATTTCCTCTGGGATACTGAACAAGTCACAACTTCTTTATGTCCCAGCTTCCCCTACTGTAAACTAGGTGCCGAGAGGCTTAATTCATTAACATTTGTAAAGCACTTTGAGTCTCACCTAAAGAGTCCTATAAAATGCACAGCATTAATAATATATAAACACAGATATATGTACATACATACACTACAGCACTGTTAACAAGTTACTTTTTTACTGTCCACTTTAATAGGGATGGAGGAAATTGAACAAACTGTAATATTGTTGTCCTGATGAAAAAATGTTTTCCTTATCTTTCACCATCAGTAGTATGACGCAATGAGATCTGCCAACAGAATCTGCTTCCTTTCCCAGGACCTATTAGTGCTCTTATGAGAATGCTTGTTTGATATGTAACTGACAGAGAAACCTTTATTTTGCGCCAGATTTTAAATAAGCAAATTAAGCCTGGAAGGTATCTTAAGCCGTTTCCCCCAAACAAGGAAATATAAAAATAATAATCTAGTTACTATTATGATCTTTCAGACCAATAGTAAAAAAATACTTACCCCAGACAAGAATTCTGCGGCCATTTTTGTTTTCTTATATTATAAACCTCGGGACTGTTTTCTATATTGCAACATGGCAGAAGATCAAGATAATGACTTAGCCAACATCTCTAGTGTTATTATTTTACAGGGCTGATATTTATGCTATTATCTTCCTAGGGATGGCCCTGCCAATGACTTACAAGTGTTAACTGGCACTGAGCAAGGATGATTATCAGTTGTATTTCACAGCTTCCTCATAGTCAGAATCATAGGCAGTAGGAGGCAGGACATGGAGCATATTGATTTGGGAAGGAGTCACTCAATACTTTTGCTTTTATGAATAAATGGCTGGCAAACAAAACTTAACTTCACATGACCCAGGAGTCTGATACAACTATTGTTTCAAGAGCTGCATTTGCTCCTCCTTCCTACTAGTCTCAATCTCCTCACCATACAGTCTTTTCTCATTTGATCTTCCGTCTTCATTTTAGGTGATGTTTAACAAAGACATCCTAAGCACTGACACCACGCCAGGTAGGTTCTATAACAGACAGTTTTCTTTCTACATTGAACATTTAAGGAGCAAGGGAATGTTGGCAAGTGGTAGCAGATTTTAGGGCCTCATAGATCAGTTTAGAGGTGCTTGGAATGTGCGTAGACGGTGGGAGGAGAAAGCAATGTCAGATATTTTCTTGGAGCAATTTGTTTGTTTACCAAGTGTACACAAGTCCTATTTCCTTGAACAGAGACAAACCGTGCCCAGGCAATGCCGTTTTGCAGGCACCACTGCTCTGTCACCAGGAAGCAGCTGTTTTGGGCCTCTGTCATGAACTCTTCTGGAATTTTACAGTTTGAACACACGTTCTTCCTCAGACGACTTGGGCTGGAAAAGTGAGCGTGGGCATCGGTCCACCTTTGCAGCTGCTTTGTAACAGGGTGCCCTCACCTCTTGTGAGTGCCCCCTTGGCCGAGTGTATGCCTGCACACTCTCTCCCTCTGATCGTCCCTACTCTGGGATAGAGCAGCACCCCAGGGCTCCCTTTCTGGAAACAATGTCTTCACCCTCTTGGGGCTTCCTGGCTACAGCTCTCCAGCTGGGCCACTATAGTTCAGTTCCCCCCTGTGAGATGCCTCACTGTTCAGGCCACTTCCCCCAGTGGCTAATGGGGGGGACCCGGGTCCACCCACTACTCTGGGTCCCAACCCAGGGACCCTGTAGATAGCAGCTGTCTGCTGTGTCCCTTTATCTAAGTTGCGCTGCTGCTCTAATTCCCTGGGCCACTTCCCCGTGGCCCTGTGCCAACTTCACCCTTACCTCAGGGCCTTGTCCTGATGGAGTCTCTGCAACCAGCTCAGGGCTCCTTCTCACTCTCCCTGGCTTCTGTCAGCACTACCGCATTCGAGGTCCTGTAGCTCTGTCAGCCAGCCACACACCATCCACACTCGTACAGCTCCAGCCAGGAACTGAACTCCCTCTGGCTCTGCAGCTCTTCTTATACTAGGCTGCTGGGCCCTGATTGGCTGTGTCCCACACAGCCACTCTAGGCAGCTTGGAGGACCCTCTCCACTGCGCTTTTTTGGGGGCAGGGTGTGGCAGGGCCACAAGGCCTCCAGCAGGTGGCCTCAGAGGGTCAGGTATACCCCACCACAGTAATACAAAGGAATCTTAGAAAAGGGTTGACTGCCTACACAGCGGATACTTTACTCCGCATGATCTCCTTACTAGCTCTCACTGCACCCATCCTGAATGTTTATGCATCAGTGACTTAGAACATGCATGACATTAGCACCTTCTGCACTAACAGGAACATCAATAATATCACGATCCATTAGCAGAACCTTCGTTGACACTGAAGAAACTGCCAAGTTTGTGAGAATGGGAACCATAGATGTATGTTGATTTAATTTCTCTTTTCTGGATTTTCCTTTTTCATTATAATTCACACTGAGCTTGGTTCAGACTGTGACTTTAGGGAATTAGACTGTGGAGAGAAAATTTCTGAGATAGAGCATGCAAAGGCAAAACAAACATGTAAACGGAAGATTTGTGAGGTAGTGAAACTAAAGCCCCTCACAGAGCTAGTTCAACACAAAAAAACACCACAGGAATATAGCATCCTCTAAGAAGCAAAGAGTACTTTATAAACAGTAATGATTTAATCTCCAACACCCTGGTAGGGTAGGAAAGAACTGTCCCCACATTACAGAGAGTTTAAGTAACTTGTCCAGGGTGACTTGGTAAGTCAGTTGCACAGGTGTCACTAGAATCCAAGTCCCCAGACTAACAGACCTGTGTTTTAACCATTTGGTCCATGTTTCTCTAAGGAAAGAACTGTAACTTGAACCCAAATATTTCCGGAAGGGGGAAAATACCTTTGTTAGTTCAGTAAGAGATATATCACCTAACTTGGAGCTCAAAGAGACAAAATGGCAGAAGAACCTACTCCTTCTCAGCTGCACCTGATTTCCCAAACATTTCTGAAAACAGTGCCTTTAGACAGCCACAGGTGAACCCACAGCAAAATGCTCTCAACACTCTTACTCTTTTGTACCACAACACCTAGATACACATTACAACATTTGGATAGCTGTATGATTGTATTTTTTAAAATGGTGCCACACACATCAGACTGTGAGTTCCCTGTCTGCCCTAAAAACCCTAGCCAAGAAGAACATCCCCAGTCTTTCCCTCCACACAGCTTCTTCTCTCCTGCATTTGGCAGCTGGCACCTTATCCTTGTTGTGAAGTATGAGGCTATTCCAGCAAAAGCTAGTAAGAACTGAGTGATGCTATCCTCTTATCCCTTGGAAACAGCTGATCACTTTGTTGTATGTACACAGACTTCAACGCCCACCACAAACACAGACTGTTGTTTCAGGGCTGAGAGCTGGCAGGACCCAAGAGGCCAAGAATGGAGGAAATGGAACAAAGAGCTGCAGCCCCAGGGTGACCCCCAGGTGCAAGGGCAAGTTGTGGAACTGCTGAGCTGCACGTAGAAAGTATCAGCTGCCGACTTAGCAGAGTTCTTCCTGTCCCCTTGTCGTTGATGGAACATATTCTGCAGAGGAGGAATGGCAGCAGTCACATTTGCTATAGGAGGGGGCCATGGCCACAGCAGAGCCAGCAAGTTTTGGTTGGGGATAGGTTCATCTCTCTCCCCAGGGTACTGGAAATCCTCCTGTAAATACCCTGTCAATAAATCAAGTGGGGGGATGGGGTGTGGTGGAATTGGGTGGAGTACAAGGGGGAACAAGGGGAGCTACTGAGACTGGGTGGGGACAGCCGGCTTCAGGCTGGGAATGGGCATCCAGGCAGTTCATACTGACATTCCTATAGCAGTTCCTCAGCAGCTGGTGCCTTGTGGTCCCCTCCCTACTGCTCTGTGCACTGAAGCCCCCTGCCCCTGTGCCAGTGCATTGTTCCTCACCCCATCCCAATGGCCTCTCCAGCCCCTTCTCTGCGTCCCGCTCTCCCCTCCAGCCCCAGTGCACGCACGCGGGGCGGAAACATAGCCAGGCCCTGCTCTTCCCTCCATGAGATATTGTGTGGATGGAAAATATTGTGGGGGCAGAAACATACATCAGATCCCCAACATTTTCATTGGGGAGGGGAGGAGCTAGTCCCCTCCCCCAACCTTTGTCTCTCCCCCTCCATCAAGGATATTGAGTCAGCCTTTGAAGCCAAAGACCCAAAGTCCTTGCCCTGACAAGCTTATAATTTAGGTAAATTTGGGTCATTGTGTCTCAGTGAAAATAAAGCTGAAAATAAATTAGACAAATTACAGTTTTTTCCAAATACTCAATAATTACTCTTAAAGGGGAAAAGGTGTTTGATGAGCCCCTAGCCAGGCACCTACATTCTTACAGTGCCCCCAACAGAGGCAGATGGGTAGGTGGGGGAATGGCCAACTTTTGTTCCTTTTTAATTTTTGTTGCAGTCAATCACGCAGCTCAGAGATGGGAATGATACTAACTTGTCCCCTTGTGCACAGCTGCTCTCTACTGCCATGGACTCCGAGACACAGGAAGCCTCTCTCTCCCACCATGACTTCAATCCAGGACCTTGCAAAGCAGGTGAAATTCACTCCAGGGCAAAGGGCCAGCGCAAGGCCTATGCAATGACCCTGAAGTAATATTCTTTGTGCTAGCCCTCTGCACGTGGTGAATTTCACCCAGCCTCTACCTGTTAAAAGAGCTACTTCCACTCATATCATCCTTCTGGGTCTGACGTGCATGCAAATGCAATTCTTCCACTCTCCGCTTTCCCCTGCTTATCATTTATCAACTTCCCGAGATCAGGAGTGT